TGCTGAGGGGGGAAGGCAGATTTCATTTTCCAGCAGTGTCCTTGCTCCCTCCCTCTGCATGTTTCCTGCATGCTGGTGGCACCTGGATCATTTTAAATCCCTTTCCCTGCAAAACTATCCCTGTCCAAGATGACAAATGCTGTGTGAGTGTACACACTCCAGTGGAGGTGGAGCCTCACATGTACTGGGTTTGTCTGTGCAATATTTTGAGTTTGTTTTTATCTTTCTGAGTTATAATGAAGCCATAAATTGTACTGTTGAAGTAGTATCCATGGCTGGTGTTCTGGGAAGTGATTTACTCAAGGGACTATTTATAAAGGCTATGTACAATGTGTGAACTCTGTATCTTAACAATCCAGAAATGTTGTAGTGTCTGAAACAAGGGAAACTCCAAAGGGGTGAATGGGTGGGATGAGGCTTTGTACCTGTGCTTGGAGAAAGGAGACAGTGCTGGGAAGCTGTTGGTGTGGTTCTTCTGAAGGTCTGTGATCAACCATCCCAGCAGCTGTGAAGGTCCTTCACATGGACTTCCTTGACTGTAGAACAGAGGATTAACCACCTGCAAAGTTGGGGGGAAGGACCTGTGACCAGTAGCTCCTCATGGTCTCTTCTAAATGGTTCTGCAGGGCTTATTCCAATGCCTGGGGGGAGGGACTGGGAATCCCAAGAGCAAGTGAAGGATGGCCTGGGAAATGGCTCATTCCAGGCAAGTGGAGCAGCCCAAGTTGCCACGGGAGATGTGAAGGAGGAGCACTGGGAGGTTGTGGGTGCAGGACAGAGCACAGAGCTCTGTGCCTGCAGTACCTGGCTGGGCTGAGCACAAACAGTGCTTGGACTTGGGCACCTCAGGGCTGGGTTAAACCTAACAGTGTCTGCTCTGGGCTCAGTGAAACTCCACTCACCTGTCTGGCTGTGTGGAAGGGTGGGAAATGCACTACTGTAACTGCTGCTCATCCTGTGCAAATGTGTCTTCTGAGCTGTCTGGATTTACCATGTCTCCAGTGTTTGGAGGAGGAATGTCTAATAAACAAACTGCAGTTTGTGTCTCTTAACTCCTCAGTCATTCCGGGAAAATAACACTCACCTGAGGGCAGGGCCAAAGGCTGATCTGCCTCAGGCAGAGAGAGCTGCAGCCAGAGCTGCTGCCTGGGGCAGCACTGAGGCTGAAGCTGCTCCTTGGGCAGCTGATGTGTGTGTGATGTTCCCACAGTGGGAAGGGGAGGGAAACTCCTGCCCTTAATCTCAGCTTGTGGCTGAGGAACAGCTGTGCCAGAGCTCTGCCTTCCTAGACAGGCTCTGGCACCTTCTGGGAGCAGAAGTCCCTCTCCAAATCCCAGGGAAGCAGAGGCAAACCCCTCTGCTTGGCCTGCTCACACCTGTGCTCAAGGGCAGAGCCCTCCACCATGGACCAACCTGAACCTCTGATGTATCAAGGGACATCAGAGCATTCCCCCAGCCATCCCATGCTTACAACACTTCCCTGTTCCTTGGCTTTTCACCTCCCAGGGCAGCACTGCCTGCAGTCAGTGGTCTTACCAGCTTCAGTGCTCCTACTGGGAGACTTTTTTCCATGAGGAGGGAAATGGAGAAGCAACACAACACCCAAAAACCACTTGAAGCTTTACTTTTCCATCTTACTTTATTTCACTTTTTCTAAAAAATTCCTCCATAGTTCCACAAATTTAACAAAAAGTTTAAAATTCAGGACAAACAATCCTGTAACGTATTACAAACATGAGTTTTGTTTTTCTTTTTTTTTGTTATTTTTTTTAAATCTTGCAGTTAGTCTTGGGCAGCTGCATTTCCTCCAGCTGAGTGAAGAACTCATTTCCCAACACAACTTTTAAAATCCTCAGTGACAAGGTATTTAATACCTCGGCTCTAGGCAGAAATACAATTAAAAATCATCTAGAAGTTGAAGTACTTACATTTTTCTTTAGGAGTGCAAACTCATCTTGTCAGTTTTTGATGGCTATTTCACGCCCCAGGAAAGCAACACTGAGAGATTTGGGTCCTTTCAGCACTAAATTACCTGTCCAAGGTGCACGAGGGGTGTCCACAGCATCACCACGAGCACCTGGGGGAGCAGAGATGAGCCTTGGCCGAGCACAACAGGCTCCAGTGTGTCCCCAAAGGAACTCTGCGGGACCAGGGCGACTCTCTCTGCTCGCGGCACCTCCGTCAGGGACGGCTAAACCTCTCTCACCATCAACCACGTTCCAAGATCTGACAAAAAAAAAACCTGCTTCTGGATTGTTGCATCAATTGCTTGGCTAGTTCTGATGCTCCCACCGCACCCAGCGATCCCACGGGTGGCAGAGTCATTGCACTTCCATGGATTCAGCCTCGGTACCTAACGTGTCCGAAACATCTCAGCTGGGCTTTGCAGCCAGCCAGCCTTACTCTCCTCTTTCTTAATTTTTTTTTTTTTTAAACTTTTTTTGCCTTTTTTTAATAGTACATGTCAGTAATCAAAGCCTCAAGGCTTAATACATCGCAGACCAGGACCCCAGGAAAACACTCCTGACTCCTCTTTTGTCCTTTGATCCGACGGCCAAGGACGACGGAGAAGTCGAGTCCTGATCTCACCTCCAACATGATTCAACTCACAGCAACTCTGGAAGCCTCCGAGCTGACCAGCACTGGTTCATGCCAGCAGCAACACAACGAAGGACAGGGAAAAGTAACAGAGTTCTGTCCATTTTCCTTGGAAAAACCATTATGGCTACAAGTCAATTTTGGATTCTTTTTTTTTTTTCCTTTTTCTTTAACAACGCAAGCTACTACACATCCTCGAAGACCTGAAGCAATGCCTGAAGCAGCACTGCCCCCTCCTTCCTAGAGTACAATAATCCATCCATGCTCTCAAGAGTGACACAAGAACAAACACTTTATCCACAAAAACCTGTACACGGCATGTTCAGAACAGCGTTCAGCCAGCCTAGAGGGAATCTACACAGGGAACTCCAAGGGGACACAAGATGAGGCCCAAATTTGACCATTCTTTGTTTGCAGAGTCATTCCTCCTGTGCTCCCCGACGCTACCACATACCCCAAAAAACAACAACTCTGTAGAACAACTAAGTACTTGCAAGAAACCTTTTAGTAACAAATCAGCATGTGCACACAATGGAGAAGAACTATTGCTGGGGAAACAATCCTACCTCGGGTTCTCAAGGAGATTATAAACAGTCTAAAAAAATCCATGTGTAAAATACTTCTTATAAAAACCAAACAAAATCCCTATCAATGCTCATTGGACCTCACGAAGGAAGTCGGATCCAGGACAGGACGATGCCACCGGCGCGGGAGGGAGTCCCCAGGTGCTTCCAGCCACGTTCAGGAACACCCTCCCACGTGTGTTCCTGGACTGGCTGGGAGCAGTGTGACCACGTGGATATGAACAGAAGGGGCAGGAGGGAGATGGTGGCACCTGTGATCCCTCGTGGGGCAACTCTGGAGGCTATGGAGAGTCCCACAAGTGCTGTGACACAGCTATGGGAGTAGCCCAGGTGGGGAGAGGAGGCAAAGACCTTGGGAGATCTGAGTCCTAGGCTAGCCA